TTAATGACCAAATCAGCCTTTTCTGGCTTTGCCCCTGAGGGAGCCAGGGTGAGCTGTGCTGTCTGAAGGAGGGTGACAGTGCAGTGGTGGCCTGGGCACTGTCCTGCCTGCCTAAGCACTGCCAGCTCTGAGAAGTTTTGCTCTGAAAGAGCTGCTCTCCTTGACCTATTTTTTTTTTCACATATCATGGCCTGCGTTGTGTCCTGAGGAAGGGATCACACGGCTCGAAGGCCCTTTATTTTTAGCCAGCCCAATTTCTTGTTGCATCTTAGTGGGATCTGGTCCTTTCAGTTCAGCTCCATCACATCTCACTCTCTCCAGCATTTGATTGCTCCTACCCAGTTCCTTGAAGTTTTTTGTACATCTATTGCTTACTCAAAGGGTTTCCTACTCCCTTTTCACTGGCTTCATTCCTTCTCCTTTACATTCTGCTCTGCCACTGCTCCAGATCCATGGCTGAATCTCTGGTTTCCCTTGGTCCTTGGTTTGCAGCATGGACCAGGCATTCACAGCCACAGGCCACCAGGCTTGTCCTGGACCTCAGCACCCCTCCACAAACAAACCCTTCCCTCCTATCTGCTCTGATAACCTTGGCAGGTCTTCCCTTCCTCCCAAATGTCAGGAAATTGGAAATGATGTTACATCAAAATCAATGGCTTGGCCCTGCTCCTTCTGCCTTTACCCAGGGCAGGAGGGTTTTCTGCTGTTTTCTGGTGAACCCAGAGCAGTGATTTATTGAGGTGATCCATCCTGTCCAGGCAGCTGACCATTGATATATTCATTTTTCTCAGGCCACCCTCATAGCCCAGAGCAGCGGCTTTGCTTGGCATTAGGCCACAGATGTGGGCTCAGAAATCTGCCCAGGATATTTCCTTTCTGTGACTGTGGAGCAACAGGTAAGGACTTACTCAAATCTGGGTGAACTGCATTAGAAACAAGCCAGTGCTCATTTCATTTCCCAAAGGATTCAAGCCCAGCAAGGGCTATGTGCTGTTTCCATCAGCAACTGTTGCTCCAAGGCAAGGAGAAATTCATTCCAAAGACTGTAGATTACATTGCAGACCGCCTTTATTATTCCCTGGACTACTACCAGAATGCACAGTGTGATTGAAGGAGCAGGAGAAGTTCTAAGGTTCCATTTCCTGGAAATCGTTGGGGCTCTACTCATTTAATTTAAAATCCAGCTCCTCTTGGAAACCAAACAGCCATAGGAAGCATAACACAATTGATAAAGGTCACTGTGGACTAAATCCTTCCTGATAATCAAGCCAGCTTCTGTTCTTGTCCTTGAAAAACCTTTCACTTGGGAGCCCTGTGAGTCCTCCAGGCACTGGACCTGGGGAGGTTTGTTTCAGGCAGAAGTTCTGCACCATCCCTACCCCTGTTCCCCATCACACCAGGCTGGATTCTATGTGCCAGCAAGGCAGAAATAGGCATCAGTCTCTAACACATCCATGATGTCATGGAAATTGAAGTGTGAGAGGGAAAGAAATGAGGCAATTGAGAGGTGCGGGCTGACGCCCAGCCCCTGTCCCTGCTGCTCACGTCACACCAACAGAAATGAGCCCAAATGGGTCTGTTTTCCAGTGCCTGATGTTGGTGGACAGCAAATCACAGGAAATACTTCATTATTCCCCTCTAAGTGTCTTTATCTGGACCTTCACATACTCCCTACTATGATTTTTGGCTTGTTATTAACTAAAATGTGCAGGGAGGATGGTTGTTGATGATACGTGAGCCAAGAATAGATCCCAGTTCTTTCTACCATTTTGGCACCAAAATGCCAAGAGGGATGAGACACCCTGTAGTAAATGCTGTTCATTTTGAGGCAGCAACTAGAAAATATGGCTCTGGCTGAGCTAGGGAGAAGAATGGATGAGGCAGAGGATCTGTGTTTTAGCTGAATCCAGTGGGAATCCATAGAGATGGGAAGTGCCATCTTCCCCAGGAAATGGGAGCTGCAGGGCTGATGTGCTTCCCTGCCCCATAGCCACCAATTTCTTCTCTGGCTGCTGTCTCCTAATTCTCCAGGGAAAAAAGAATCTGAGCATCCTGTCAGCACTTGGCTCCTTGCTCCCCTAGCAGGGAGGTATTTCTCCTGGGAACACATCCTACTTTTCTTGAGCTGAGGGAAGCATTAAATACATTGGAAATGAGGCTGGTTAGCGAAGCCAAAGGTGGAGGGAAAGATTGCCGGAGTGTGAGCTGGAGCACTTTCTTGGGCTGTCTGGAGACAGCAATCCCTTGCTGTAGGTTGGAACCTTCTGGGAAAAGGCACAGTGTGAACGTAGGAAGAGCCAAATCCTTAATTTCATATGGAAGGGAATTGTCAAAGCTGTTGCAGCGCTTGAGGGTGCGAGTACATCTGCTTCCTACCAAGATGTACTTGCCTGCTTTGGACTCGAGGTCAGATCTGGTAATTAAAGACTCTCTCTCCTTCTCTGCCTTTCACTCAAGAATTTGATACTCTTCCAGCAGCATTCCCTGCTTTTCTCTCTTATTGCTGCCCAGAGCAGTGAGCTGGAGCCAGGGCACACAGACCTTGGGTGTTGCATCTGTTCAGTAAATGCCTTTCTTTGGACTCCACAGTAACTACAAGTTTCCTTCATGTTAATCTAAATGAAACTGCTGCAGACACAACCCAGGACAGGTGTGGGGAGCTGGTGCTGTGGATTTGTGAGACAGAAGTGCTGGGGATGAGCACTGCAAGAGCTCAAAGCTCCCCAGAGTGCTGGAGGAGCAAGAAACCTCTCTCAGCATCAGCTACGTGCTTTCACCATGAGGGAATTATGGCACAACATTATCCTTGGAGGCTTTCAGGTGTAAAAGTACAAGCTGTGAGGACTTTTGGCATCTCTGAGAGTCTGTGTAAGCAAGGGAGAATTAATATATTTGCATCTGAGGCACTAGAAAAAAACACCCTCCTCCAGTCTGTTTGGCCATGTTGGAACAGAGAGTTGTCATCTCCTGGTCCAGGCAGGATTTGTCTCTTCTGATTTAATCACTAAACCCATTGCCTTTACTGTAGTGATAATAGCAACAGGACTTCTCTCCCAGGGAGTCTGCTCACCAAGGGAGCACAGGAGTGATGGAGCCACTCCTGAGGGTGTGAGACAAAACTAGTGCAGCTCTGAAGGGAGCCCGAGGAAGATGCAGCCTGCTTAGAAAGTCAGTAGCTTTTGTTGTCTAGCTGGATTTAGATATTTTCCCTATTGCTTGCAGTGCTGAATAGCAGCAAAATGTGCTTTGGAAAATATACATGACATGGCACTTATCTGTGATTCATTCTGCCTTTACAGCAGCAGTCAGTGGCACTATCTGCCTCCTTGCTACTCCACACAAGACCACCTCTCACACGTATCTTTTTCTTTCTTGCTCTTATTCCTCTAATCTTTTGTTGCTGTGGATTCCCCCCCCACCTCCCTTCCCCCCATACCAATTTCACTTTTTCTCCACTGCACCAAGAAATCTGATTTCTGGTGCTATTTTGTCAGTCTGCAGGGCACCATGGGAACTGCTAATTTGCCCAAAGTAGCAAATGGGCAATAAAATAATAATAATTTAAAAATATGCTATACATAAGTGACATGGGCATGAGGGAAGCTTTTCCTTTAATGTTTGCCCAGGGCCTGGCTGCAGCTCTCTGTCCTCATTTCCCTGCCTCCCTCCAAAGCACAAGGTGGGTTTGGACAAGGGAGGGTAGTGGCAGCTCTGGCAAGAGCAATACAACCAAAAAAAGCAGATTATTGTGTCATGCCACTCTGCTTCAAGTTGTTTGATGATGTCATAAATGTAGCATGGCTTTTGCAAAATTAGCATGATCTCCTGATTGGTGGCTCTACCATGGAAGTGGAAAAGTGGCAGTGTTGGAGGGGAGAGGGATGGTGATGGGAGCTGCTTGGGGCTGGGCTTGGTCCAGCAGTTAAGAGCTGCTTTGTTAATCCCTGATCGCGGTGTCACTGATCCTCAGCAGCTCCTGTGCCAGGGACTGGCAGCGCTTGATAAGGCTTTGCAGGGAGATAAGATAAGATGCTGCAGTTCGCCTCCATCCTTGGGGGATCAGTGCAGCTCTGGCTGGAGCAGCAGGAATTCACCTGCAGCAAACCCAACAGGAGCCAAGGAAGGAGCTGCTCCCATTCCCGTCCATGCTGTGTGTTTTAGTTTGGAAAGACAGGTGCCTGCTAAGGAAGGCAGAAACCTCCCCTGAAATGGAAAATGTAAACCCCTTCCCTCCAAACTGCTATAAATTTTAAATTAAGGGGCTCTCAGGCAAAAATATGGGAGCAGGAATAACAGTTCTTTATTAGGGAAGAAAATAAAAAGATAAAATAAACAATGCAGTAAACCAAAACAACACTGACAGAGTCAGACACAACCTGACACCCTGTGGGTCAGGATGCTGGTAGCAATCCAATTGGAATTGTGGCTGCAGCCCTCCTGCCGTGCCAGGGGTGGTTCTGCTGGAGCAGGGATCCTGTAGAAGGGTGTAGTCTTCCTCTGAAGATCCCGTGGAAGAGGCAGCTGCTGTTCCTCTGGGAAATCCAGTGGAGAAGCTGTGCTGGTATTCCAGAATCTCAAGATTATATCTGGGTAGGAATGTTTGAGATCTCAGATTATATCCAGGTAGGAATGCTTGGCTCCTCCCTCTAGGCAGAGCATGTACCAATGGATGCTGTAGTTCTTATCAGCCATGCAGGGACATTCCATGGCGTGTTATCAGCAGATGTCTCCCTGGAGGGATGAGTGTTTGTAGAAGAGATAAGGAAAACTGCCCACGGAACAGAAGACAACTGCCATACAAGACAGCAAATAGAGTACAGTTTGCATGGCAATCAGGACACTGAGCCATTCCCCATCCTGTCTGTGCTGTGCCATTCCCCACCCCGGCAGCAGTGTGCTAAGCAGTGTGCTGGGATTTGGTTCAAGCTCTGGGTCTGTCAGTGGTTGCTCTAATGGCTCCTCTCGGTTCAGGGCAGAGCTTTGGTGGCTCCGTGCTGGGCGCTCCTCCCGTCCCGTCGCGGCCGCGGCCGATGCAGTTGGCGATGAGCGCGTGCAGCAGGAAGGCGCTGACCCTGCTCAGCAGCGTGTTCGCCGTCTGCGGCCTCGGCCTGCTGGGCATCTCCGTCAGCACCGACTACTGGCTCTACCTGGAGGAGGGCATCGTTCAGCCCCAAAACCAGACGGCTGAGATCAAGCTCTCACTGCACTCGGGGCTCTGGAGGGTCTGCTTTCTGGCAGGTAGGGTCTCCCGGCCAAAAACATCGCCTCAGTTTGTTGTGTGTCAGTGCCACCCAGCAGGAAAGGAACGAGAAAAATGGGATTTTTAGAGGCTCCGCCCATCCCTGTTTCCAAACTCAGGTACAACCTTTGGCAAGCAATGTCATCTCTTCATGCCTGACTTTAACAGCCCAAAGGATAAATCTGCCTTTGCACACAGGCTTTGGTGAGTTTGTTGCTGCCCTGCCAGATCCCCTGCCCTGTTCCAGAGCTGCAGCCACAACGCCTTGGGCAGCAGCTAAAAACTTTCCATTTCATCCCTGCAAAATTCAGATTCAGGTCAGCTGGACCATTCCCTCAGCCTGTGCCAAGTTTGATGAAGCAGTTTGGCTGCAGGGACAGAGTTGAATAGAACCCAAGGGAATGGGAATCTCAAAGTAACCAACCTTAAATATCACAAAGTTTCAGCTGCTTTGGAAAAGTCAGGGGAGAAGTGAGGAGCTCTGATATGGCCCCTGGGATGATTTTAAACTCCCTGGCTCCAGAGCTCACGTTTTTGTCCATGTCTCGCTGCTGCAGGTGAGGAGCGTGGCCGGTGCTTCACCATCGAATACGTCATGCCCATGAACATCCAGCTGACCTCTGAATCCACAATGAACGTCCTGAGTGAGTGGTTTAGTGGGATTCCACCCTTTACATCCTGCAAATCACCGAGTCCCAAGAACTAGGGACCCTCCCCAAGAAATCCCCTTTGTGCCCTTGCCAAAGAAGCTCTGAGTTCCTTGACAGTGCTGCCACACAAGGATGCAACTACATTTTTTACTATGGGAATTGCCCAGAGTGCTCATAAGCTTTTGGGGACATCCCTTTCTAATGGCAGGATGGCCACAGAGGCTCTAAGCTGTACAATTTCCTGTCACTGGCTATTCAGCACTAATGTTTATCAAAGTGTTTGGCTTTTTAGTCTCCTCTCCATAATTTGCAGCTGTATTTATTCCCTAGCAATTTTACACATTATACAGCAGGATGAATTAAGGATGGAGTGTCACAGCTCTCACGATGAATTCTGCAGTCATTTCTGAATTAATAAATAGAAGTGTTTTGAAAACATGCAGTGAACCTAGAGAAAAATGCAGGTTCTTATGGTTTCCTATGCAACATTTCACACAGGAGCCCTCAGAAATCAAACATCAGCAGAGTCACCACCATGGAGGTGGGACACTGGCACAGTTTGCCCAGAAAGTCTGTGGATGCTCCATCCCTGAAAATGTTCAAGGCCAGGATGGAGCCTGGAGCAACCTGGGATAGTGGAAGGTGTCCCTGCCCATGGCAGAGAGCTGGAACATGAGGACCCTTCCAACCAAACCATTCTGTGATTCTGTAATTCTATGTTTTACTCAGCTTATTAGCAAGGAGAGAAACTCAGACACAACATGGTGTGAGCAGAAGGGTTGGAGCCCTCTCACCCAGCCAAAGCACATTACTCACACTATTTAGGGGATATTAACCTGTTCTCACTTCCCTCTGCTCCTCTCTCACCAGAGATGATCCGCTCTGCCACCCCCTTCCCTCTGGTCAGCCTCTTCTTCATGTTCATCGGCTTCATCCTCAGCAACATCGGCCACATCCGGCCTCACAGGACCATCCTCGCCTTCGTCTCGGGGATATTCTTCATCCTCTCAGGTGAGTTCTGCAAGCCAGGTTTTCTCCTGACAGCCCTTGAGCATGGAGCACGTTTGCTTTGGTAGCTGCTGGTGCTCTCCTAACCTGCCCTGCTGGCTCCTTGTCAGACTCATCACTCCCAGCTCAGTCCCACTGAGTCCCCTCAGCCTGGTCAGACCTTGTGGGATGGATGGAGAGCTTTGTGGAAATGTGGGGAAAGGCTCCACCACCAAGGCAGGAGCAGGTGCTGGGGGAGAGGATGCTTCTTGTGAAACATCAGTTGCAGGACAGATCTGAAACTTCAAACTGCTCGGTTGGGCTGTGTCTACATGAGAAAAGTGAATGTTTTATTCATGGTGTTGTGCAAGTGCTAAACAAATAGCTGTGACAGCTAAGCTTTGAAGAAGCTCCTACTGGAGCCAGATCTCTCCTCCCAGTGCTCACAGATTTCCCTGAGCAGGGAATGTTTGACTGGAATGAGAGGAGTGCCCTGGGTTGAAGCAGCAGGAGGGCAGTTCCTTTCCCCAGTTATTACAAGCACGCTCCCAAGTTTTTTCACTTTCCCCCAAAGCCAGGCCTTCAGGAAGGTGCTTCTTCAGCAGCTTCATCCCTGAAGCATTTCCCACTGTCCTTCCCCAGGTCTGTCACTGGTGGTGGGGCTGGTCCTCTACATATCCAGCATTAATGATGAGGTGCTCAACAGGACCAAGGACTCGGAGTCGTTCTTCAATTACAAATATGGGTGGTCCTTTGCCTTTTCTGCCATCTCGTTCCTTCTCACAGAGGTACCCACACCCTGTAACAAGTGTATCCCCTTCCCAGGGGTGGGCAGACTGAGGCTGTTGGCAAAAAGGGGGCTCGGGGTTTATGGGAGGGCTGGGAGGGTAGGGGAGTGATGTGTAGTGTGAAGGGGACATCTGGGGAAGGACAAACCACACATGGCGCACTGTGATGGGGCATTTGATCACAGTTTGATGCCAGGCACAAAAAGCAGATATGTGTTTGTGCTGCATTATTCATTGCACAGACCCACGGCACGGGGCAGGGAAGTGGTGGCGCTCGGGTGCTTTTGAGCATCAGCACAGCACAAAACAGGCGATTTCTGCGTCGCCCTGTGTGGGTGCTGGTGCAGCCACGGGCAGGGAGATCCTCAGGCCGTGTCTCTGTCCCGCAGAGTGCCGGGGTGATGTCCGTGTACCTGTTCATGAAGCGCTACACGGCCGAGGACCTCTACAGACCCCACCCCGGCTTCTACCGGCCCCGCCTGAGCAACTGCTCCGACTACTCGGGGCAGTTCCTGCACCCGGACGCGTGGGCGCGGGGCCGCAGCCCCTCGGACATCTCCAGCGAGGCGTCCCTGCAGATGAACAGTAACTACCCAGCCCTGCTCAAGTGCCCCGACTACGACCAGATGTCGTCGTCCCCGTGCTGAGCCCCGCGCCCCGCGCCCGCTCCGGTGGGCGCCGCGCCCCGACTCCGTTTGTCGTTTTTTTAGGCCGCTCTTTCTGGCCAATTCTCTATTTATAGGAGCGTAAATATAACCAGAGAGATTGGTTATATAACAGTAGTGTAACCTAGAGAATTGGGATGTTTCCCTTTCTTTGTTTTTTGGGTTGTTTTATTCCTCCCTGCATAACTAAGAATCTCTCCAAAGTCCTCCTCTCTCAGCTCATCCCGCTGAGCAAACAGCAGTTCTGCCTGGGGGATAAATCCAGGGCTGGACTCAAGAGCAGGAAAAAGAAAATAGAGTAGAACTAAGGGAAAAAAAAGGTGTATTTTTTTGGTGTAGGTAGGTAGGCTGATAAAGTTTGTGCATTCGACTGTATCATTGAATTCTATATTTACTGCCCTGAACACCAGCAGGCATAAAAGATTTGTGTAACTTTCCAAAAAACAACCAGCATTAGAAAAATATAAATTTTGTCTTGACTGAGCACTTACTGGTTGGTATCTCTCGCTGCTGGATATCACTTCCAGCCAGGCTGGAATGGGAAATAACCATCCTTCCATGAGACCTCAGCAGGCTTGGACACCAGCAGCTTGTTGTTCCTCTACGGCCACTTGGAAACTGTTGCTTAAATATCTCATGTTGGACTGGAGGCACTCTGGGGTGCTGGGTGGGAGGGATGGCTCCAGCACCCAAATTTCCTCTGCCATCCTATAGACAGGAGGCCTGAAGCATAAATGGGAGAATTTCAGTGCAGCATTGAGAGGAAAACAACTTAAACCTTTCCCATGGGAAACATCTGGTGTGGGATTTAGTGGAAAGAAGTTATTTCAGTGAAAGGCAAGACCCCAAACTGGTGTAAAGTGATGTAGCTTAGATTATTGGTACCAGTCCACTGCAGCAAAATAGTTGGCTTATTTTACATTTTGGCAAGAAAATGGTAATTTCTCAGCTTTTTTTTTTTTTTTTTGGGGTGGGGGTTGGTTTTTTTTTTTTTTTGTGTGTGCGTGTGTGTGTGTATTTATTTTGAGGCTTTAAGTTTGAAAATTTCATTTGATGCTTTGGCATTTTGGCCTTAGCCAGCTGCCAGAGGAAAACACCACTGCCACTGATGGAAAACAAAGGGCAGGGAAGGAAAAGGCTGTGATCCCTCACACAGCCACAGCTTGTCACCTTGCAGAAGAAAGAGCTTTGTGATGGAAAACAAAGGGCAGGGAAGGAAAAGGCTGTGATCCCTCATGCTAGCCACAGCTTGTCACCTTGCAGGAGAAAGAGCTTTGCCCAAACTTTATTTCTGTTCTTGTTATTTTCAACCTTTCTGAAAATTTCTGTTCTGCAGAACAAAACCATCTGGGGACTCTTGGTATATTTGAGCTTGTTTTGTCTTACTGTTAATTAAAAGAAATAGAATATATGCAGTTTTAACCTCATTTGTAGCATACTACGTAATGAATGTTGGACCTCTTGGTTGTTATTATTTAATATTATTTTTTTTATTTGCTATTAAATATTTATTATTTATAAACTCCTCCAAAGCAGGGGCCAAGTCCTGGTGCAGCACCACTGTTTGCATCCATTACAACACCCATTCCACAGGACATCACTGCAGGAGTGCATCCAGCCAGCTCTGGAACAGGATTACTCCTCTCCACATCCTCCAGAGAAGCAAGTAATGCATATTTAGTTATACCTGAGTAGATTCCTAATTTGCAAAGTTTTAAAATCAGGGCATATTTCTGTAGGCACAGTTCTATTCACCCTCGGTTTCTGTATGACCCTCGAGCATTTTTGTGCTTTCACTTAAGCCCCAGTTTTTAAGTGCTAGGTGACAGGTTGGCTGCTGGGAAGGTTCAGGCACTAAAGCACAACACAGCCCCACCCTCCAGTAACAAATCTGCTGGTCCTCACCTGCCCCCAGCCTGACAAACCATCAGTTTTCCACCAGGATTCCCATATTCAGTGTGGATTTGGCTCCAAAAAACTCACTGGAGTTCACAAGCAATGGTTTTGAGTTTCCCAGGGGCTGATCTGCTTTGCTGGGCTTGATGCTGGTGATTTTTGGTGGCTCAAAGGCTGTTGCCTTTGCATGTAACTCTTGATGGATGCTGATATTCTCAGTCCTTGGGAGGGAGATGTTCAGGATCACCAAAACTGCTGATGGCCAGAGCCACAAGGGCTCTCCCATGGCCACATTCCTCGCACTGGGGAGTCATCCTGTGGTTAATCCTGTGCAGCACCATGAGATGTCCCTGTCCCCAAGTGGAATTTTCCTTTGCACTGATTAAATACAGAATTATTCATTTTATAAATTTAAATGTTTGCCTACACAAGTAGAAGAAATTAGAAGAACTTCATGCCTTCCTCAAGGCCCCAGAAGGTTTAGCAGAGTCTAGGGGCGAATTAGAAAAGTAATTATTTTAATTCATTGGAGACATTCTCATCATGTGACTGCATTAGTGAGCCTGGGAGTTTGCATATTCACCCAGTGAACACAAGTGCAGGACTGCCAGAAAAAATCTGTTAAAAGAAATGTTTGCTGTTGGTTCAGTAAAGGCATCTTTTAGGTAGGTTAATGTGGTGTTTGCAAAGCACAGGCAGCAATGGTTGTGCCTTTGGGCGCTGTTCTGTCCCTCCCAAAGTGCCTGCTGTGGCAGCAGCTCTGCCTGTGGGCCTCCCAGTGCAGTTATCACACCTTTGTGGGCTCTGGAGAAACTTTCCCAGAGCCTTGGATCCTCAGAGCCCTGGCCTGGGTGAGGGGCTGGGGTGAGCCCAGCCACCCTGCCAGGCTCTCTGCCCCAAGAACCACCCTGGAGCAGCAGTTCTCCAAGCAAGAAGTGCTTAGTAAGTACAAGCAGCACCCCTTTAGGACACCTATTAATGATTTTATCACCTCTTCTAATTACCTGGCATGGTTTTACCTCACATCCTCCCTTCCTGAGGAGCAGCACTCAGTCCCCTCCTTCAGTCTCTCTCCCACCCACTTCAGTGATGCCCTCTCGCTGTGTCCTGTGTCTGTTGCTTTGACTGCAATAAATAAAAAGTGGAGTTTGAGGGTGAGCTACCAATGAAATTAGAGGTTTTACCCCATGAGTCCTTAAATTCACCCGAGGGGATGAGCCAAGCCTCCCCCAGCCCGTGGGAAGGTGACTGCTGTCTGACACTGCACAGAAAATGGTTTGTGCTGAGAAGCACAAAAATCCTGTTCTGCATGAATGACTAATTGGTGTCAGAGTCTTTGTGCACAGGGCTGTGGCTCCTTGGACTACAGCAGCAGAACGAGTTACTGGGATTAAGGGTTAAATAAAGCCTGATCCTGGTGCATTCCCTGCTCCAGGTGCTGCTCAGGCCTGCAGCAGGTGAAGGTTTTCTGTCCCTGCCATCAGCAGAGACACACACACACCTCCATCCCACATCCTGGGAATCCTGGGAATGGATGGATGGATGGATGGATGGATGGATGGATGGATGGATGGATGGATGGATGGATGGATGGCTAGGGGGGTGGATGCTCTGAGATCTCAGGGAACTCCCAGGAGTCACCCTGCCCTTCTGTGTGTGGGGTTTTTTAATCAAATCCCCTTTCTGTAAGCTCAAAAAGGCATTTTGTGGCCTGTATCTCTGGGACATGAAAGCTCCTCTGCCAGCATCCCCAGGACTCTCCTCATTCCCCCTTTACCCCACAGCCCTCCCATGGCCCAGGGCTGATAGGGCCCTGGTGGGAGCCATTTTCCCATTAGTAGTGTCCTGACAGCCCTCACTGAACCGTGAGGTGTGGATGCAAGAGGTTCATTAAGGACCCTTCATGAGCAGTAATGAAATAGCCAAGAATGACAAGGCTGTGCTGGGTCTCCTTCTCCTCCAGTTGCTGCTAGAGCATCTTGAGGCTCCAGAGCCCGCTCCTGCCCAGTGACAAAGCCATGATTAAATACATAAATTCACAGATAGGTGCAGATGACCGGCCCCCCAGTGCCGCTGCCCTTGCAGCTGCGGTGGCAGTGGGCACGAGGAGCCCCTGGGAAGGTTCAGGTGAGGCAGTAACCCCCCACTCCAGGCAAGGAGGCAGCGCAAGAGCCCTGCTGAAGCTGCTGTGCTGAGATGAGGTTTGGGTGGATGTTCTGAGGGAAGCTGGTGCTGCTCTTGCCCAGGAGGGGCCATGGAACTGTTGGTCAGGTAGGCAGGGGGAGAGCAAATCCTTCTGCTGGGGATGCCCCAGATGAACTTTGCTGTTGCATCATCTGGACACAGGGTTAAAGACCTGTGCCCTTTATCAGCTTCAAGCAGACAAGACCCAAAGGTATTTTTTATGGTGCTTTCCCTAAAACACACCACTGTGGCAGGCTCAGGAGCTGACTTGGTGTACACAGCGTGGGGGTTTCCAGCTCACAGTGCTCTGCTCTCAAGTCCTTGTGTTGCATTATTAATACTATTCATCAAGGTTGTGTATTCATTTTCCCAAATGTGAGTTGGCCCCATGGGCTATTCAAGGTGTGCTAAGAATTAAATAGTCTTATTCTTCCCTGCTGATAGCTTGTTAGCTGTGCAGAGCTGGTGTGTTTGTGCTGGGGATGCTGTGCGAGCAGGCAGAATATTCACCTGAGTAAATACTCCTCCACTAATGAGAAGTAGCTGAGAGATATTTATTTTCTTCTTCTTCTTTCTTACTCATGGGATTTATTTATTTACTTATTTTTTTCCCCCAAATTAACTGTCAAACCTATCTAGAAAAAGCAGCTTTTTTTCCTTCTTGTTTTCCTCATCCACTTTTGGGGTCTTGGTAGAGTCTCCTTCACCCCACTCTTTGCTCCACCAGCTCTTTGTGCCCAAGAACCACATCAGCTCTTTAACTCTTCTTTCTGCAAACTGGCTGCACCTCAGCACACAGGAAAGCTGTGGCTGCTGGCCAGGGAGTTGGGTGTCCCCAGAGTGTCCCCAGGGTGTCCCCAGGGTGTCCCCAGTGCCCCAGCTGCTCCGTGGGTGCCACCATG